TTGTCTTTGGTAACCATCGCTGGTTTAGCTTTATTGTTTAATTACTTGGTTTGCTAGAGAATGAGTAGCTAAGTTTGCGATATAACTTCAGTAGAGCTGTTTTTACCATACCTTGCTCATCCGCTTGCCGCCTGTCCAGCACACTTGCGACTATATGTTTGCTAGTCGATCGTCGTACAGCTAGATCTGTAGACAGCTTGCGTGGACACGTTACTGCCAGACTATCCGGCTTCGTGATCTCCGACCGAGGGGTTTGGTCATGCCTGAGTTAAGTACCTGTCGCTCGCTTTTACCCCTTCTATGCTTAACTTTATCCTTCATCTGACACGCTGAAACGCAATACATGGTCTTACTGCATGACAGGTTGGTTTTTTCGACATTTTATAACATTTGCTCTAACCAGGTGGTCTCCTGTCAAGGCTATATTAAGTGACGTTACATGTCTTGTACAAAAATATATCTAATTTATATTCATTTGATATTCATTGGAGTGGTAAAAAATGGTGAAGTGAAATGAAAGGATTATTTTTTCTTTTTCCTAGTCGTGGAGTCTGTTGATTGGCGAGTAATTCATAGCAAAGTCACTCAGGATTGGCTGGTATTAGCTGATTGAGCTGAATGACACAGCTAAAGCATCTCAGGGGTCCAGTTTAAGTATCGATAACTGACTGCGTGCTTTTTTATTCTGGCCGTTTCGTTTTTTTAAATTTTTTATCGTTAACCGGAATTTTTCTCCCACGCTCACTCTTGCGCTTTGCGATGACTAAGAAGTAGGGCTGTTCCATATAGTCAGGATTGCTTAGTCGGTAGAGCGTCGAACTCACAACCGGTCCCTTATCGGAGTCACTTGAACATTTTTCTTCCGAGGTTGGTAAATGAGTACCTATCTGTATGAAGGCAAAGAAAACCACACGCCACCTTGCCAGCATTTTTAGATTCTGCCTTAAAAATAAATAATACACTCATCGCTGATGGCATAAACACGGAGGTCGGCACCGCTCCATGAACTTCATGAAATGAAGGGCGCCAAAATGGTCCATTCATGAAAGTTAACTGAGACTGACATTTCAGCGATGACAAAATCATCTTTATATACAGTCGGCAGAAGCGATAATATTGGTGGAAAGCGATAAAAGACAGTTTGTCACCGCTAAGATACCGGTCTTCCGTAATCTTAAATGTCTTTGTCAACAGTTTGTCGTATACTTTATTTGTGGCGCGAACGTTACTGCATGATATTGTATAAAATTCATGCTGATCCATTCTTAACGTGCGGCTAGTGTAACTCACTGGAGCCATCGTGAACAGTCGTCGGGCGCAGTTAGGTGTTCTGAGCAATGCCTTAAACTGTAATCGTGGATTTAATGCTGCCGATATTTTATTTGTCGGTAGCGATCAAGACGAATTTAATTATTAATGTAAGAACTTATATTTATATTCTAAGTAAAACAAAGTCTGCCATGAGTCATTAGTTCTGTACTAGTTCTTCTAGTATACCTATAAGATGGTCTAGTTTAATTCTTTAGTTTAACGCACTTCTCGTATATGAAACGAATCTGTGACGAGTGGTTCCAATGCATAGTGTATTCAGCAATTCGCACCGGGGCATTCCCAAAGACGGTACGTTTTCGTGCAGCTGACATTATTAGATTAAGCATTACGTTTATACCGTAGAGATTGACTGTTACACTTACTTGCCCACCCCTACACACAGACGGAGTTTAATAGATCGTCTGCATCAATAGATCCTAATCTTATTATCTGTAGTTACTGTGTACTGAAATATCTTTGTTCTAACTTGCCAAAGTTTTGAAATTTCCTGCCTTGCACTGACTGTTTGCCTCGCATTGCTTTACTCTCGCTTCTGTGTCCTGATTATGGGTAGTGTAGTTGTTGTCCGAAATATCGGGTCAGAATAGAGACTTGTGTCGGCACATTTTATATCTGTAGCCATTGTATCGGAACTTGTTTGTGTAGAAGACGTATACAAGATAGCTGCGAATCAAGCAATCTCTGCCTTCACTATTGTCGGTGTAGTTTCGCACAGAGATCATAGATACGTAGTATGTGCATGAGGTCACGAAACTGATACGATAATAGTCAGTAACAGAAACACGCAAAAATGTTACTTGATCAAGGTTTTTCTTTCAGAATAATTAAAATCTTTCCAAAGAGTTGTTTGTGCACATTCGTTGCTTGAATCAGTTTTCTTGTCGAGAATAGAATAGTTGCTGCGGCGGTCGTCGACCAGGTGGTCCTTACTTTTTTCAACACGGCATCTACCGCTGTGCAGTTCACTAGAACTTACTATCTTTGCTCCCTTGCCAAGTGGTAGTCATATGTCTACCTCTGAAAAACGAAAGGCGAATGGCCCGCCCGAATTCAAACCGATGACCTTTCGAACGCGAGTCCACCTCTTAGTTTGTCGATTCAGCTACCGTCGGTTGAAAGTGACCGACAGAGATGCTGTCAGCTAGACGGCATAGAATGATCATCAGGTGAGGTCGATCGGCTGGCGCCTGGATCGGGATCCGGTGGCTTCTGTCGACGGTCTTGCGTGACACGAGATGTATTTTTGTTCGCGTCGTAGTTGTGCTCGTCCTTCTTACCGGCTACGACAGCTGGAGCAGAAAATATGTCGCGTTTAAGACCTACTCACGAAAAGCGACATTACTGCGAACGTTCTTTTTCTAGTACTAACTGACTGACACAGGAT